CGTATAATCACGCAACGAGTCACTCGAATCGTTGTATCGCACACCTCACGCACACGGGATTCAAAAATCATCCGGAAAAGGGTTCCGTACTCTAGAACGGTCGGTCCAGGGTGTGGATCGGTCGGTCCAGGGGTCCTGTGCTGTCCCGGGACCTCTAGGGACAATTTTTGAGGTCTGGAACGCAGACCGTTTGGTCTGGGGATGCCAGACCGTCGGGTCTGCAAAACCAGACCGTCCGTTCCATCTCTGTTCTCTCTCGCGAAACAGTTTTCTGGTCCGACTTCGTTTGGCCATATCTCACTCATTTCTCCACCAAATTACGTGTCGTTGCTAAATGTTCATTGAAATGTCCTCTATCTAATCCAAGCAACAAACCATCGAAATAACACAATCACATCGACGAAAACGAGCTCACACAGACGCAACTCGAGCCACTCACCTCTGTTTCGGCTCAGATCTGGTTTTGGCCGGATTCGAGGTGTTTTCCGATCTGTTTCTTGCCGGAAACCTCTTCTAGACACTCTAGGGATGTCCTTCTTCGTGTTCTCGAGCTTCCCTTGCGTCGATTCTCCCTGGTTTTTCCCCCTTTCTCTCTGTTTCTCCTCTCCCTCTCTTTTCTCTGATTTTGTCCGAAAATGGTCAAACCCCTGCCTTGGGAGAGGTTTATGCTGCGAGAGGGAGGTCGAATGGGCTCAAGACCAGGCCCAAGGTCGAGCCTGCATCACCCTGAACAGATTGGTCGGCGACTTGACGTCGGTGGGGTCTGGGAACGTAGAGAATTACGCGTCCCAAGGCAGCAAGTTGGGCACTTGCTTTCTGCCCAGCAGACCGTCCGTTCTGGGTCTGGAACGGACGGTCTAGGCCTAGTTTCGGCCCAGCTCCTCGCTCGTTCGTGGTCCGTTCGTTCCGCCTTTAGCAGTTCGTCCGTTCTGCCTTTGCCAGTCCGTCCGTTCTGCATTTCTGGTCCGTTTCGACTGACTTCGATTGCTCCGTTCTCACTCGTTTCATACCCGAATCGCGCACCGTTTGTTTCTACACCTTCCTTGGAACGTCCTCTAGCATGTCCAATCAGTAGATTATTGAAAACTCATGTTTACACGATGAGGCACAACTCGAAACGTCCATACCTCAAATAACTCGCGAATTCCGAATTCCGGGTTCTACTCAGTTTTCTTTTGTTCATAACTTCCTCGTTTCTCAGTCAAATCGAGTGTCGTTTTCTTCTAGATCTTCGTTGAAATATTCTCTATGTTTTTTTCTTTGATTTACCTTCCTTTTATTTCCGAAACTAATTTAAATATTTCATACGGGAATCGGGGTATTACAAATCTCCCCCCCTTATAAAGAATTCGTCCTCGAATTCAGAATCTCGTGATGTTATCAAAATTTTCTCGTATTCGATATCATCACCAAAACACAATCCAGATCGTCATATCATTAGAAAATATAAGTCTGATACAAACTGAACGTCATGTGAAAGAGTTCGTACAACGGTCAAGTAAACAGATGCGGATAACTACTACGCATCTCTGCCTCGGGTTCCCAAGTCATGTCGGAGACCCCTTGGCTCCGCCACATGACCTTCAGAAGTGGCACCTCTTTCGTTCGCAACTTCTTGATATTCCGATCCACGATCTGCAGCGGCTCGTCGCGAAAACGTGTAGCCTCCGTAAACTCCAACTCCTGGGGCTCTAAAATGTGAGAAGGATATGCTACGTACCTTTGTAGCATCGCAACGGGAAACACATCATGGATATTGTCCAACTTCGGCGGTAATCCAAGAAGGTATGCAATAGCTCCCACTCTCGCGATCATGGGATAAGGTCTGATGTAGCGCGGCTTCAGCTTCCCGCTCTGCCCGAACCTCGCATGAGTTCGCATCGCCTGTACTCAGGGAAAAACATAATCTCCGAACTCAAGCGCGAAGTTTCATCTCCGCTGATCGGCATACGATTTCTGTCGATTCTGCGCCGTCTTCAGATGGACGCGAATCTTCCGTATCACCTCTGTTGACTCCTCCACGATCTCCAGCCCGAACTCTCGGCGCTCGCCTTAGTTCGAAAAAAGCCGCCTGGGGCGCGCCTAGGCGGTCGAGGCGCAGATGCGCTAGAGGAATCGCATCTCCACTCAGAGGCAATGCGACGGACATGAAGCGGGCTAAGGCGCGCCTCTGACATGCGGCGATTTGAAGCGGAGGCGTGCGCGTCATCTTACACGGGCGCAGAAAAAGGCAGGTTAGGAAATAAAAAGGAAAAAACAGAATCGATGAAAAAAAAAAGGAAACTTAACAAAAAAAAAGGAAGTGGAAGCTTGCATAAGACCGAGAACTCCAGCGCAAACCCAAAAAAATCAAAGATCTACAGAGATTCAATAGGGAGAAGGAAACAAAAAAAAGAACCGGCGGACTACGAGTTTTTTTCTGTTTGGTCGTTTATAGGTAATATTGTATTTTTTGTTATCAATCGTCATCGCCGGCGTTGTTTTGCTATCGGTAGGTTTTTGTATTTTTTTTTGCATCTGAGCACGAAGATAAAGATGAGCACGAAGATAAAGCTGAGCACGAAGATCGAGACATATAATATAACACATAACACGTGTATTCCTTTAAATATTTGTTCTTTCTATCATGGAAAAATTATTTTTTTTAGATTGTACGCTTTGTTTGCTTTTTTTAGATTAAGAGTTTTGACTCATATAACAACATGTACTCATTAAAAACTTATATGATCAATATTATATAATTTTGCACAGGATTTTACAATGGAATCAGAGAGCACTCCGAAGGATCCTGCATATAAATACGGTACAAAAGATGCTGTCAATTGAAACAATTTTACGTGTCGATTTTGTCAGAAAGTTACCAAGGGAGGAGTTCAACGATTGAAACAACATTTAGTTGGAGGTTTTAGAAATGTGATCAAATACCCTACATGTCCGGACCCGATAAGAGCGGAGATCTCAGATTTTATGAAGAAAAAGACAGCTTTGAAGATTGAAAGTCAAATGTTGCCTAAAATTCCGATTGGAACTCAATCCGATGATGGTTTGGATGAAGATGAAGAAGAGTTTGTCCCTAAAAAACCAAGAATGAAGGGTTCAATGGATATGTTTGTCACTCCTCAAGGTAACCCAAAAAAGGATGGAATCAACAAGGTTGTTGACAAGAACCTCCGACAAAAAACTTGTGGAGCAATAGCTAGATTTTTTTACGATGCTGGAATTCCATTCAATGCAGCTAGTTATCCAAGTTTTGCAGAGATGTGTGAAAGTATCGGACAATATGGGTCGGGATTGAAGGTGCCTAGCATGTATGAATTAAAAGTTCCTCTTCTCAAAGAAGAGGTAAACGACACTGAAACGCAATTAAATGAGCACAAGGATGAGTGGAAAGAAAAAGGTTGCTCAATTTTATCAGATGGATGGCGTGATTCGGTTGCTAATAAGGATATAATAAATTTCCTTGTTAACTCTCCCAAGGGTTCGGTTTTTATGAAATCCATGGATGTGTCAGAGATTGTCAAAGATGCCAATTTATTGTATCGGTTGCTTGATGATATGATCGAGGAAGTGGGAGAGGATAATGTAATCCAAGTGGTGACAGACAATGCTTCTAATTATGTTAAAGCAGGTACAAAATTATTTATCTCACTTTTCATTGACTTTTTTTTTATAATTTATGATGATTCTGCTGATCAATACATTTTTTATGTTTATTTGTAGGAAAATTGCTCGAAGCTAAGCGACCTCATCTTTTCTGGACTCCATGTGCGGCGCATTGTATCGATCTAATGTTGGAGGATATTGGAAAAATCCCCAAGGTACAAACTACACTAAAGAAGTGTATGTTCATAAATGGTTATATATATAACCATGTACCTCTTGTGAACATGATGAGGCGGTTCACAAATCAAAGGAATCTGCATCGACCCGCGGTAACTAGGTTTGCGACTTCTTTTATAACTCTTTCACAGTTCCACAAACAAAAGAATAATTTGAGAAAGATGATTACGTCACAAGAGTGGAATGGATCAAAATGGTCAAAAGAGGCGGGGGGAAGGAAAATGGCAGGATTTCTTTTGCAAGATTCCTTTTGGAGAAATATGTTATATTCTCTCAAGTTAACTGCACCTCTTGTTAAGGTTCTTAGGATTATTGATGGGGAGAGAAAACCGTCAATGGGTTATATGTATGGAGCTATGGATAAGGCTAAAGAAGCTATTGCTACAAATTTTGGTTCCGATGATGAGCAATATAAGGTAGCATTTGAGTATATTGATAAGAGATGGGACTGCCAACTTCACCGACCTTTGCATGCTGCCGGCTATTTTCTAAACCCAAGTCTTCATTATGGTAATCCAGATTCTAATTGTGAAGAGGTTATGAAGGGTGTATTTGAATGCATTGCTAGATTATCTCGTACCGCTGAAATGGAAGACAAGATTATAACAGAAATGGACACATATAAATCAGCGGAGGGTCTTTTCGGTCTACCTGCGGCCATTAGATCAAGGAGCACACGTTCTCCAGGTATTTTTTTAAATATAAGTTATTATAAATGATATATATTTATATATTTAGAAATATATAAAATGTTTTTTTATTTTTCTGTCTTTAATAGCAAAGTGGTGGTCTTCTTTCGGATCTTCGACTCCTAATCTTCAAAAGTTCGCCATAAAAATCCTCAGCCTCACTTGTAGTGCTACAGGTTGTGAGAGAAATTGGGGTATTTTTCAACATGTAAGTATATGTTCCTTTTGTTTGTTTACAATAACATACATTATTTTGTTACCAAACTATTAATTTGTATCTTTTTTTTTATTTTTTTAGATTCACACCAAGAAGAGAAACAGATTACTACAAAGTCGGCTCAATGACTTGGTTTTCATTAAATACAATCGTGCTTTGCAACGCCGATACAAAATGGAAAACACACGTGATCCCATTCTTTTGGATGAAATTGATGAAAGCAGTGAATGGTTACTTGGAAGAATGGAAGGCAACTCAGATGACGATGATTTTGTGTTTGATGATGATGATAGCCTCACGTGGAGTCAAGTTGGTAGGATAGCAGGGGCTTACGATCCGAGTTATAATACTAGGCGTTCAAGTTCAACAAATGCACAAGATGGTCCCGCTCTTTCCTCCCGGATGAATAAAAGAAAGAGTATAGCTATTGAGAACACTTTGACATTGATGGATGAGGAAGAAGAAGAAGATATTGGTAAAGACAATGATTACGACGAAGATGAATGTTATGATCATATTGATCTTGATTAGATATTTAAAAAAAGACATTGATCGACGTTTTGGATTTTTTATTTCGGATGTTTATTTTTTTATTTGATGATTTTGAACATTAATATATATTAAATATTTTGCATTTGGATAATTTTTATATATATTAAACATAATATTTAATATATCTTAATAATATTTTTACAAAAAACGCATCGCACACAGGATGCACGCGCTTCGCATCGCGCCTCGCGCCTCGGATTTTAGAGACCTCTTGCGCCTCTATGCGCCCCACGCATTTTACAACCAAGGCGCTCGCCGATCTCCGTCCAGCACAACTGTGTCTTGCACGGTCGCCCGTATAAGGCCTCATATGGAGATACTCCGATACTCGTGTGATGACTGTTGTTGTATGCAAACTCGCACAACGTCATGTATTAGTCTCATGGAGCTCCCCACTCCATGATACAAGCTCTGAGCATGTCCTCTAGAGTCTGTATAGTCTGCTCCGACTGACTGTCTGTCTGAGGATGATATGCCGTACTCATCTTGAGCTTCGTCCCCAGTGCCTCCTGAATCGCCTTCCCCAAGCGGGATGTAAATCGGGCATCTCTATCCGATATGATCTCGTTCGGAACTCCATGAAGACGTACGATCTCATCGATGTAAATCTGCGCGACCGCCCGATCGGATACTCCTGACGGATAGGAATGAAATAGGCGGATTTAGTTAGTCGATCCACGACTACCCAAATGACGTTCTTCTTGCTCGGCGTGAGTGGTAATCCGACCACGAAATCCATGGCAATTGAATCCCACTTCCACTCTGGAATCTCCAACGGTTGTAGCTTGCCTCCCGGCATCTGTCGCTCTTCCTTCACTTGCTGACAAGTGAGGCACCTCGCTACGTAATCCGCTAGATCTCTCTTGACCTTCGGCCAAGTATACCATTGGCGTAGACCATGATACATCTTGCTCGCCCCCGGATGTATCGCCAACCTCGACTGGTGTGCCTCAGATAGAATCTCCTGTCTCAGCTCTGCGTCGTCAGGCACACATAGCCAGTTCCCCAACCATAGCGCTCCCTGCTCATCAATACGATAGCCCTTGAGGCTATATTCCTCGATATGATCCATGTACCGGGCGAGTAAAGGATCGTCGCGCTGTCCCATAACCACGCGCTTTATCAGAGTCGGTGTCGACTCCTCGGGTGTCAGCGAGAGATGTCCCAACATCGCAGTCAACTCAGCGGCATTGTTGCGAGATGAGGTGACAACACGTATGGCCGCTAAGACCTTCTTCCTACTAAGAGCGTCGGCCACTACGTTAGCTTTCCCCGGATGGTAGGCTACCTCCAGATCGTAATCTGCGATCAACTCCAACCATCTCCGCTGTCTCAGATTAAGATCCTTCTGAGATATCACATAAGCCAAGCTCTTGTGATCCGTGTTGATCTTAACCTTCTCCCCGTACAGATACGATCTCCAGATCTTCAGCGTGTGAACTACCGTTGCTAACTCCATATCATGTTTCGGGTAGTTCTCCTCGTGTTTCTTCAGCTGCCTCGACGCGTAAGCGATCACGTGTCCCTCCTGCATCAACACGCAACCGAGTCTGTGCTTAGACGCGTCAGTGTATACCTCGTATAGCATTTCCACCGTGGTAATGCCAGGAACGACGCTGATGTCAATCTCCGCTTCAACTCCCCAAAGCTTTCCTCGCATTCCGTCGCCCATTCGAACCTGACATTCTTCCTTGTCAGCTTTGTCAAAGGTCGAGCTATCTTGGCGAATCCCTCGACGAATCGGCGATAATAGCCAGCTAATCCCAAGAAGCTCCTAACTTCGTCGCAGAAGTCGGGGACTGCCACTCCATGACGGCCTCGATCTTAGTCGGATCGACCTGAATGCCCTGAGCTGATACCACATGTCCCAGGAGCCCAATCTCCTGTAGCCAAAAGCTGCACTTGCTGAACTTAGCGTATAGCCGGTTCTCTCTCAGCCTCCACAATATCTTCCGCAGATGCTCCTCATGCGTCTGCAGATCCGGTGAGTAGATGAGAAGGTCATCGATGAAGATAATGACAAACTCATCTAGATAGTCCATGAACACGCGGTTCATAAGCTGCATGAAAACAGCAGGCGCGTTCGTGAGCCCGAAAGGCATAAC